AGGATGGTGTCCCCAAGAATGGTGTCCCTAAGGACAGTGTCCCCAAGGATGGTGTTCCTGAGAATGGTGTCCCCGAGAATGGTGTCCCCAAGGACAGTGTCCCCAAGGATGGTGTCCCCAAGAATGGTGTCCCTAAGGACAGTGTCCCCAAGGATGGTGTCCCTGAGAATGGTATCCCCGAGGATGGTATTCACAAGGATGGTGTCCCCAAGGATGGTGTCCCCAAGGACAGTGTTCCCGTTGATGGTGCCCCCACAGGGCTGAAGGAGGAAGCTGATGGGCTAGAGACGCGGGTGCAGGGGGAGTCTGGGAAGGAGGCTGAGCGTAAGCAGGAAGCCAGGGCAGAACCTGGAGAGGAGAAGGGCAGGAAGGAAAGGGCTGCAGCCGAACCCAAGGAAGCTGAGGCTATGCCAGCCCCACAGAGGCAGAAGGTGGATGAGGAACAGGCTCTGGGAGAACCTGAGGAGAATGACAGGGCAACCAACAGAGACAAACCCGCGCCCACAGGGGCTGGTGGGGACCAGGTCACTGAGCAAGAGGCTAAGATGGGATCTCAAAAGGTGGCCATGGGTGGCGAACCCCACGCAGCTGATGAGAAAGAGGAGGCTAAAAGGAGTGCAGAGGAGCTGGTGAGTGATGCCAAGAAGGGAGGAACACCGCCCCCAGCCACAGAGCTCTGGGCCCCATGTCACCTTGGTGCCCAGGAGGCTGAGGCAGGAGGATTTCTTCGCTTTCTCTCAAGAAGGCCCAGTGTCCTCCTACTGACCTCCCAAGCTTGGAGCAGGCTGGGGCGCAGGGTGTTGCTCTCTCTCACGAAGGCGGGGCTGGAGCTGGTGGGACCAGGAACCCAGGAGAACACTTCCCATTCCAGGAGCCTGGAGGCCCTGGGGAAGACCAAGAGCAGGGTGAGGACCAGGAGCCAACCGAGGAGGCCACGGGGGTACCCAGCTCCCCTGAGGTGTGGCCCGAGAGCCCCAGTGAGGAGGGCCCCAGCCTCAGCCCAGGTGAGTGGGTGGTGGCCTGGCTGCTGGGGGGCAGAAAGCAACCGGGAGCTCAGAGTCTGCCCTGTGCCCTGCAGATGCTGAGGACTCTGCAGCCTCGGGGGACACCAGCCCTGGTGCCAGGTAAGTCGAGCCCACCCCACTCCTCACTGCTGCTGGCCTGTCACCTTCTGGTGGCATAGAGGGAGCCCAGCAGAGCAGACAGACCCACCACCCTGCACAGCCCCAAGGAGAGGAGGGGAGGTGGGGGGGAGGAAGGGGAGGGGGAAAAGGAGAAAGAGGA